AAAGCATATGGCATCTATAGGTCAGGTTTTCTCAGAGGGCAAGAGTGTTGCAGCAAAGGCTGTATCATGATACGCCCTGGCGGTCAAAGACCTTTGGTCGTAGGAGGGGTGTTGAGATGTACAGCCCTGCAAACCCCTAACCTGACGGCTTTTGGCTCAAGTAAAATAGTGCGTCCCCTGCGCTTTGTGCTCCATAGGTTTTGTGCAGCTGTGGATGTCGTGGGTGTCTTGGAAAGGAACTACTGTGGGGCCTAAGGGTAATGCAGAGTGCTTCTTTTTGTAGGGTCCTGCGCGCAGTAGACACGAAATGTGTATTTGCATTACAGTCCGGTGTCGTCGGAAATTCCCAGAAACTTCGCACCTGTCAGCGAGGGGAGGAGGGGCGGGAGGGTGGGGGAGGATGGAAGCAGAAAGCTGGCATCTGTGAGCGAACCGGCAGAAAAAGGGGGGAGGGCGGGGGGGAGGGGGGGGGAGGGGGGGGAAGAGTTGACTGGAAGGGGGGGAGCGAAAAGGAGAATTTGGGTGGGACTGCCTACAGAGATCCAAAATCCGTTGGAGGAAGCGAGAATTCACCGCCCTCATCGACTGGTTTCCATTTTTTAGGGGGGGGGGGGCTGGGGAGGGGATTGAGAGGTGGGGAATGAAGGAATCCGAATAGGAACCTCTGACCGCTTCGGCCGGGGCCGAGGCGAATATATCTGTATTTTGAATATTATTCAACTATTACTGAGTGGGGGCCGTACCTAACTCATGGTCTTGATTCTGCCAGGTTCTTTCGGAACCAGCTTTGAGGGCTGAACTTCTTTTTGCCGCCAGCCCGAGATCTTTCAACTCCGTACGCCTTGCACCAGAACCCTGCCTAGACCCCCCAAGTAGTTAAAATAATGGCCCAAAACCTACAAAAAGCTATTGTTCTGCATACTTTCGGGGTCCAGGTAAACTCCTTCAGCCATGCGGCCTGACACCCACCCTACCCCCTCAATCCTAAATGCGAAATCCTTGTTTCCAAGATCGCACAGGTACCATTTCCGGATCGACAGGCGACGGTGCATGCGTGGGTTCAGACTGAAAGGTTTCCGAGATATGGAATTCATATACGCTTGTATTCTTTTGTGTTTTGCTTGTTTTATCTTTTTCTGGGGTAGCGTCTAGGGTTAGGGCTCGCGTACGTATGTATGCATATATATACTAATATACTTATGTATGTATGTATATATATATACACACACGTTTGACCATGTTCATAAGACATGTATCTGGGTACACAATTTGAGAAGGTTGCCTGAATTTTGAAGCAGATCAGCAGGAATCTTGACGGCAGCACCGTGTGCCGAATTGTCGAGTTCTTGGGCCTCGAGGACGAGTTCCATTGACTTGGGGGCTCCTTAAAGGGATGTATGGGGTTCCTTAAAGGAATCTATGGGGTTCCTTAAAGGGATCTATGGGGTTTAGGGTCTAGGGTTTACGTGGAGGGGCATAAAACTTCGTAATCCGCTTATAAGTAGGGCTAGAATTGGGGTAACTCCCCGTAGGGTACTTCTAACTCTACTTATAACCGACTCACTAAGTCCCCTGCCCCTCCAAGTAGGGTTTGGGGTTTAGGGCTGCGGATCTGCGGTTCCTTTAGGGGCCTGAATAATTACCTATACTACTGTTGATGATATGAATCCTACATTACCTTGAGGGCCCTAAGCTATGGGATTAATGGTATATTCCTTATTTTGGGCAATGCAGGATTTATATCATCAACCGTATTTTGGTGGTTCTTTATCATATGTATAGTAAAATCGGCTCCAAACCCTCTTCCCCAGACATTAGGTTTTAGGGTTTAGGGTCGAAGGGTTTGGGGTTTTGACCCACGTGACTCCTAAAATTCCAAACTCCCTGGAGGGCACGTTTTCGAAGCTTCAAAAGCCCTACTTGGAGGATTAGGGGACTTTTAGAACGAAAGGTTTTAAGTACTTTAATTGGGGCTATAAGTAATTATAGGTATAGTTACCTTTTTCTTAACCCTATTTACTAATTCCCATGAACTTTCAAGTAGCCATAGGCTTTGAGACCCAAGCAGAGGGCGAAGCCATAGTTCGCTTCAAAAGCCCTCAACCCAACCCCCCCCCCCCCCCCAAAAAAAAAAAAATAAAGAAACAACTCCTAAGCCCTAGACCATGGTTGTTGTTACAACGCCGGCATTACCCATAATGATGAATATACTCTACTCCAATACCCGTAGTCTAGGGTCATTAAGGTAATGCAGGATTTATATCATCCACCTTTTGGGGTTTAGAAATGAGAGTTTAAGGTTCCCTGAGGCTTTTTCCCCTAAGCCTCTCAACCCTAAACTGTAAACTCCTAGTGTAACCCTGGAGCCCGAAACCCTTAAACCTTCAACCGCCAAGCCGTAAACCACTGAACCCTCGGGGCCCTGAGCCCTAAACTCAAAGCCTACGAAGCCCGAATGCTGCCCGAGACTTTGATCTAGGCTTCAAGGTTTAGACTACCCTAAACTCTACCTGAACCCTAAAACAACACAGCTGTTTTTGGGTTCATTATCATGGTTTCCTTATATCAGTTATGAAAAGGTAAGTCTTTGGCGGTACACATCAACCTTGATCAATGAAGGCTTTTGAACGCTAAGCCCTCCGCACCGTGTTGAACCCAAAAGACAGCAGGCTTTCAAGAAGCACAAGCCCCTAAACCCTAAACCCTAAACCCCTAAACCCCTAAACCGTGAACCCTAAACCCCTAAACCCCTACACCCTAAACCCTAAACCAACCAGAAATCCAGACCCAGCGCCCTGCAAGGACGATTGTATACAAGACAGCAGGGATTTTGGACTGCTTCGGCAAACGTCCTCGGGGGCTTCGTGTATCTTGGTAAGATACGGTTAACCAACCTAGGTTGGATTTTGGGACATTATCTATTTTCCTTATTTGGGTTTATAAGGGGCCCTATATATAGATATTTTCCAGGGTGTTTAAAGGCCAACCCAGCAACGGGTACCCTCATAGAATGCAAGATTTACATCATCAGCCCTACCCATAGGCCCCAAAGTAGTACCTTTGGGGGGTTCATATCCCAAAAAGGAGCTACTACGGTTGATGATATAAATTCTGCATTACCCATAGCAAGGAATATACCATAATTCCCATAGTTTAGGGTCCTTAAGGTAATGCAGGATTTATATCATCAACCGAGGAGCCTTTTTCGGGCATTTAGGGGTTCAGGCTTTAGGAATAGCCACTAGAGCTTTATTTCTGTCAGGGCTTATCGGTTTTTTGATATGAGTCTCGCAGGATCTTCTTCACACAGCGGCCTAAAAAGATTGAATAACGTCTTGGGGAGATGTTCTACTATAACTATAGGGGGAACAGTCGGATTCATTTCGGAACTTTCATGTGGGTGGTTGTCAAAATTAAGGTCCATTTTTGGGTACCCTAAATGATAGGTGCCGTACTATGATTTGGACCCAAAAAGGTACCATAATTTTGACAACCACCCATGTATTCGTTACGATCCCAGGCGTTCCATTCTTTAGGGATCTAGAGTCATCTGGATCCTAATACAGCACCCTAAGTAGCAGGATCCTTAATCCTTATTATAAGGACCCCAAAGTAAGGTACCCCAAAATTTGCGGAAACTCCCAAATGTTGGGTCTTACGGCGCGCAGGGCTTAGGAATGCTGTTACTTGCCTAGTGAGCAGAAGCACACTTTTGAGCCCGTATCTAGTATTGTTCTAGTCTGCGCAACGAACATAGTCGGGAACGTATTTATCACTGGCCTGTTATCAGCATCGACTCTCGCGTTGCTCACAGCATTGGTGAGGAGCTTGCGTAACCCTAAGCCCTAACCCTAAACTCCATACCCTAGACCCTAAGCCCTAAACTCGATACCCTAAACCCTAAATCCGATACCCTAAACCCTAAACCCGATACCCTAAGCCTTTATCCTAAAGCCTAAGCCCTAGACCCAAAGCCGACACAGCCGAAGCTGAACCCAGGCATGGGTGTCTCCAGCCTCGGGTCTTGCAGCTCCGAAGAGACTGAGACTCGGGACTTTTGTTTTTTTTCCCTGTTTGAGGTTTTTTTATCGTTAAAAAAACACGAGACTCGGGACTTTTGGCCTTTTATCCTATTTGAAGTTTAACTTGATTACTGCGCTAGAAGCAGGTTTTCGAATAGGTGTGGATGTTCAATTCGGTGTTTGTAACGTAGCGTAATGTGATGAAATGAAATCAACGTAATGTAATGTTGTATGTATGTACGTGCATCCATGCATGCATGCGAGTATGTATATATTGTATGTATGCATGTATACCAGCGTGTATACATGTACACTTGCACATGTATGGGTCTGCATGTATGTGTCCGTCCAGTTATTTATGTATATATATATATATATATATATATTCATTTTTCGCGGCACATGAATGTGGCAAGCCAGGAGATGACTCAGACAACGATTGAGGGTTTGAGACGCCGTGTTTGGTCAATGGCAGTGTTTTAAGTTTCACATGGATTCAGGCAGTCGGTCTCGCCGGGTTTCACACGCCGCGCGGCGTTGGCTGTGCTGTTAGCTTATTATAGCAGGTTTAGCATGCTGAAATTGTAGGGTTTTCGGTGTTGGGTGTTGTCGTTTCGTCTTTGAGGGTGTTCTTGGGGTTTTGCGCCTGGGTGGAGCTTCCTGGAGCATCTCTGGTGTAGTTCCGCCAGAATATGGACTCCACATCGCGATGTCGAAAATGAAAAGCTGCGCTGGGAGTGAAGGGTCCTGGGCTGATCCTCGGTGACTTCGGGTTGGGTAGGGGTTTAAAAGATCGAGACATTCCAGGTTTGGCGATCAGGGAAGGGCACGTTGAGAAAGCTCTCGAAGGCTGAGTATTACAGGGTTCAGGTTTTAGGCTCAGTACGGTTGTGATTCTTGCGGGTTTTCCTTACCGCTAACAGCCGAGTTGACTGATTTCGGCTGCCTCCTTCGGTTGCGTGGTGACGGTCGCGCCAGGCGGGAGGGAGACCTGGCTCTGTTAAATGGCACCTGGGATGCTTGTCTGCATTGCCTTTTTTGGGGGGGAGTGGGGGGGGGCGGGGCTTTAGGGGGTTCTTCGTTATAGTTGGGTAACATTTTACATTCTGATGGGTACGTAAACCCAATAAGGAATAAACATGTACATTTTTCATCCTATCCCAACAATGATCTAGGGTTGTTGTTGGGGTGTTGGGATGAGGGGTACCAAAGGCCCCAACCCCCCAACTCGGAGCCTTCTACGCACAGTTTCAAGTTTTAAGTCCGGAGCTGTCAGGTGGAAAAGCCTTGCAGCTGAATCCCCTAATGTAGGGGCCTTTGTAATTACCTCTACTATTTTGGGGGTTTCCTTGTTATAGTTGTTGTCCAATAAACCCCAAAACCCCTCTTCTAATTATTAAGGCCCCTATATTAACCCTTCGTCCCAACACCCCGGAGCCCCACTCTCAAAGCTTCCGTTTACTGCGAAGCTCAGGGTTTAAGACACCGCATCCGAATTCACTGGAGCCCGTCGCAATACTCATTGGCAAAGGCGAAATAACAGGGAGGGGGTGCGTGAGGAACAGTAAGAGCATGACGAAGAGCAGGTGCAAAAGCGAGAGCAGTACTGCTAGAAGAGACTCTCATGACACTAATGTAAAGGCCTACAGCCTTGGCTGCACACAATCGTGAGCGGCTCAACCCTCATCAAAAACATTACGTTCTCCAATCGTGTAATGTAGGAACCTGATAAAGAAACCCTGGGCCTATCACCCCAATGTGGTAGGACTCATACAGGCAACCCTAATAAAGGCCCAAGGTTTCTAAATCAGGTTCCTACCTTACACTACGTCCCCTGCGGCTCAGCCCTCCTTTCTTATGTGTGTTTCAACCCTCAACCACTTTTCGCCAAAATTGGCCCCAAATGTTCAGCCAGTTTTCGCCAAATCGGACCGGTGCTCAGCTAGTTTTCGCCAAACTCGGACCAATGTTCAGCCAGTTTTCGCCAAAGCGGTTCAATGTTCAGCCACTTTTCGCCTAAATGTTCGGCCACTTTTCGCCGGGGACCGGTGTTCAGCCAGTTTTCGCCGGGGACCGGCGTTCAGTCGGTTTTCGCCAAGGGCCGGTGTTCAGCCACTTTTCGCTGGCGACCGGTGTTCAGTGTTCAGCTGCTTTTCGCCGGGGACCGGAGTTCAGCAACTTTTCGCCGGTGTTTGGGGGACCGATGTTCAGCCACTTTTCGCCGGAGACCGGTGTTCAGCCACTTTTCGCCAGGGGCTGCGGGGTTTAGGGACTAGGGTTTGGGCTTTGGGGTTTAGGGCCCAGGGTTTGGGCTTTAGGGTTTAGGGCCTAGGGTTTTGGGGCCTGGGCTTGGGCTTTAGGGTGTAGAGCCTAAGGTTTGGGCTTTAGGGTTTAGGGCCTAGGGTTTGGGCTTTCAGGGTTCAGGCTTTGGCGTTCGGGTTTAGGTTCTAGGGTTTGGGCCTTAGGGTTTAGGGCCCAGGGTTCGGGCTTTAGGGTTTAGGGCTCAGCGCCTCTGGGCTGGCTTCAAGTTTGAAGTATTAGTACTGGTAATTGAAACTATAAACACATACGCATTTTGTTAACTCGACTGTGTTGAACTAACCTGAAGGTTGTGATAAAAGTTTGTAGTTCGTAGTGTTTTGTCATTCTCTGGGTGGGTGGGTATTATTCCATGTCCCATATAGCGAACTCCACTAGATACTGCTCGACCACAGCCGCTGAACCCCAAACACCGCCATGGTGGCCCCGTGAAAACACTGCAGGTGGGACACCAAACTAAACGACCAGGGAATCCCAAACCGAAGGTGTCATATAGGGCCTAAACAATTACCCTTCCCATTATGGGAGTCCTTAATTCTGTCAAAAGTTAGAACTAAACCCCCAAAGTCTATTCTAATTATCAAGACCCTTGTAGTTAGGGTGTAGAGTGTACGCCTCGACAGCGTAAAGGAGCTGATGTTCACGAGCAACGGGGAGACTTCGGCAGATTTAAGGCGCAAGTGGCATAAGTCCTCGGTGTTCAGTCGTTTAGGGTTTGGGATTTTCGGTTAAAGGCTTTGGGTTTAGGGTCTTTTACAGAGGAATCTGCGGTGAACGTCGCTTTTGACGCCGCTGAGTCATCACGAAGCCGAGAACGATAATCACATTCAATATCGCCTACGTCTTCAGAAATCCTATTCCGCATGGTCCCAGTCATGTTAGTGTGTGGCAACATCTATAGGTAATATTCGCCCTGACTTTGACAATCCCCGCTTTCATCATAATCATCGGCATCATCATCATCATCACCACCACCACCACAACTATCACCATCATCATGACCATCGTTATCATCATCGCCATCACCATCATAATCACAAGCATAACCAAAAGACTAGTCATCGTCGTCGTCATCATCATCCTTATCATCAAACGCATCATCACCCTCGTCATCATCATTATCATACTGATCGTCTAATCACCTTCATGATCAGCATCATCATCACCATCAACACCACCATCATTATCACAATAAAGCATCATTGCTATCATTTCCATCATCATCTTCTTCTTCATCATCATCATCATCATCATCATCATTTTCTTATTCCTTTTCATCGATGAGCATCATCACCATCATCATCATCACCGCCATCATCACCTTCATCAACATCATCGATTTGCCCTACAAGTACACAATTGTTGAGCCGGCAACAGCAACACGTGCAACTAATAATAACAAGCACAGCTAAGTCACTACTGCCACTCCTCGTCTCCTCCTCCTAATCCTCCTCCTCCTCCTCCTCCTCCCACCACGACGGCGACGACGACGACTACTACTACCACTACTACTACTACTACTACTACTACTACTACTACTACTACTACTACTACTACTACTACTACTACTGCTACTGCTACTGCTACTACTACTACTACTACTACCACTACTACCACCACGGTTACTATGACTATTACTACTACTACTACTACTACTACTGCTACTACTACTGCTTACTACTGCTACTACTACTACTACTGCTTACTACTGCTACTACTGCTACTACTGCTACTACTGCTACTACTGCCACTACTGTTACTCCTACTACTACTACTACTACTACTACTACTACTACTACTACTACTACTACTACTACTACTACTACTACTGCTACTGCTACTGCTACTGCTACTGCTACTGCTACTGCTACTGCTACTGCTACTGCTACTGCTACTGCTACTACTGCTACTGCTACTGCTACTGCTACTGCTACTGCTACTGCTACTGCTACTGCTACTGCTACTGCTACTGCTACTGCTACTGCTACTGCTACTTACTGCTACTGCTACTGCTACTGCTACTGCTACTGCTACTGCTGCTACTACTACTACTACTACTACTACTACTACGACTACGACTACGACTCGGACTAGGACTAGTACTAGTGTAGCGGTTCATGGTGGCTGTACTACTCCACTAAGAGTCACAGCAATGGCAACGACAACAGTAGGGTTAGGCGTACTGCTAGACGCCGAGAGACAACCACGCGACAGTATCATTCTGAATCACAGAGCGCTAAGTGTAGCTTAATGCGCTGCTGGTCAACATCCTGGCATCTACGAAAGGATTTGCTCTCTGCGGTACCGGCGGAACTGAGATGGGTTCGCAAGAACAGATGCCCCAAACTTTCTGCAGCCTAGGACGTCGATCGGGGAGACATCCGGAGTCTTTTGGGCGAGGCGGCGTCGAACTCTGATGGCTTCCAGCCTTTCAAGCTGGAGGGCGTGCAGCAGGAGATCGATGTCCAGGCTCTTACTTGCATGGTGGGTCCTTGCAAGTTATCCGCTCTTCTTTGGAGGGAGGGGGACAAACCAATCTACTTGTTGTGCTCTGGCTGCGATCCAGAGAGAGATTACGAAAATAGGAGACCCTAATCAAGTACCCTAAATAGTAGGATCGCTTGCTATAAGGACCTCAAATAAGGTACCCCGTATTTTGGGAAACTCCCAGATGTGAGCAGGCGCAAGGCTCTCAGCCGACTCCCAGCGCTCCCCAGGAGCTGTTTGCACTCATCCCCAACGCATCAAACCCAGTGTGGGCTTAGAGTTTAGGGGTGTAGGGGTTTAGGGTTTAGGGCTTCAAAAAAGTTCAACATTCAGGCTTAGGGTTTGGGGGTGTAGGGGTTTAGGGCTCAAAGCTTTGAGGCTTAGGGGCTTAGGGTTTAGAGTTTAAGCCTAAAACCCCCTTTAGGTGAACCCTGAGGCTCTGAGGGGCAAAGACAGTTTGGGCATTGCTCTTTTGCTCTTTGCTTCTGCAGCTCTTGCATTGAAGGGCCGGGTTCACTACGGCTGATGACGTAAATCCTGCATTACCTTAAGGACCCCAATGGTCTATTCCTGATGATGGGTAGAAATTTAAAATCATCAGCTGTATGGATCTTGACTCTCTCGTTTAGGTTTTTGCAGCAGGACGACCCCGATCTGATCCGCAGGGCTTTAGCATAACGCGGGGGCCTGAATTAGTTACCGGTATATATATATATGTATATATATATATATATATATATATATATATGGTCCCCCCCCAAGATCCACACCCGCCTCTTCCATGCTATTCCACAGGTTGTTTCTCTACATTGGTCGACAACTCATATATACCGAAAACACCGTAAATAACGATACAATCGTGCTTTACCTCGTGTGCATGCAAACCGTGCTGCTGCAAGGCGCGGGTTTGATATGTGTAAAAATCTGGCGCCGAATCTCGGCCGCGGATTTATGGTAGTTTATGTGTTGGAGAAGCTGAAATGCTGGAGGGCGTGCTAATTTTGTTCATGTAATACTAAAAAACCTCGTGTTTTTTTGCATTTTATGGTGTGTTATTTATCAACATTCCTCTAATAATAAAAATACTCTTGTCTCTCTTACGAAGACGTCTGCGTGCGTGGGCCATCTCTTTCCCGCTGCTCGTGAAGCGTCCGATTCTGATGCGGCCTAATCGCTCTAGCATTTGATTTAAGAGTTACGAAATACGAAGAGCTCCTTGCATGTCCTGTCCATTATACATGAAGGAAGTCGAATATACGGGCGCGTTTATTTTTGAAGCAATGCTCCAATAGTTGTTCTTTGCTTCATAAGAAATGGGAAAGCTCCCCTGGAGTTGAAAAGTTCATGTGCATATGCGGGCGCACAAGAAGGCTCGTCTGCAGCAAGAAGTAAGAGAGCTCTTGCAACCTTCCAAACATCAAGCAAGACTAATTACGACTCTTCTCCGGGGTATAGAACAGCATCAATAAGAGTTAACTGAATGAAAACTCATGTATCGTAGGAAACCGAATAGGAAGTCTCCATTGTTTCTGATGATAGCAAAATGCAAACCGTTTCCTACAGTCTTCAATTTGAAATGAAATAAGTTCTGGATAGGCTTGCGATTATTACAGTGTTGGATTTGTAGGCGGTGAAGCTCGCCGAAGAAGGCCCAAAGCCATTTTCGAGAAAGCTCAGGTACTAGAGCCAGTGCCGCTGCCGCCATAGATCTACCAACCTCCGAAAACATACATGAAATAAACTATGTAACGACTAGGCTGGCCTTGTTCATACTTATCAAACCAGAGTAATGAAAACCTTTGCTGTTCCAGAAGACATATAAAATAGTACTTCCAGTCCCTGACAATGGTTGTAAGCACACAATTATCTTGTGAAACGGTATATCACTATATCCTGTCTTGGACATCAGAAAACACTGCTATGCTCAAAAAATTCCAAAATTTCCAACCCTGAAACTCACGAAACACTGTAATGCTCAAAAAATTCCAACAATTCCAAAATTCTGGCATCTATGGCCAGGACGGGGGCAAATTCCTTAAAACTTTGGAATTTTTGAGCATAGCAGTGCTTGGAGGCTGTAAAAAGTGGATTTTTTTGTGGGCATTACAGTGTTTTGTGAATTTTAAACAACGAAACACTGCTATGCTCAAAAAAAGTGAGCCTTGAGGCTGTGAAAAATTGATTTTTTTTGAGCATTACAGTGTTGTGTGAGTTTTAAACCACGAAACACTGCTATGCTCAAAAAAAGTAAGCTTTTAGGCTGTGAAAAGGTGATTTTTTTGAGCATTACAGCGTTTTGGGAGTTTCAAAGCACGAAACACTGCTATGCTCAAAAAAAAGTAAGCCTTGAGCTTGTGAAAAGTTGATTTTTTTTGAGCATTACAGTGTTTTGGAAGTTTCAAACCACGAAACACTGCTGTGCTCGAAAAATTTCAAAATTCCCAACCCTGAAACTCACAAAACACTGTAATGCGCAAAAAAAAGCAACTTTTCACAGCCTCAAAGCTCACTTTTTTTGAGCATATCAGTGTTCCGTGGTTTGAAACTCACAAAACACTGTAATGCTCAAAAAAATACACTTTTCATTGCCTCCAAGCTCACGAAACACTGCTATGCTCAAAAAATTCCAAAGTTTTAAGGAATTTGCCCCCGTCCTGGCCATAGATGCCAGAATTTTGGAATTTTTGGAATTTTTTGAGCATTACAATGTTTCGTGAGTTTCAGGGTTGGAAATTTTGGAAGTTTTTGAGCATAGCAGTGTTTCGTTGTTTAAAATTCACAAAACACTGTAATGCCCACAAAAACCCACTTTTCACAGCCTCCAAGCTCTCGAAACACTGCTATGCTCAAAAAATTCCAAAGTTTTAAGGAATTTGCCCCCGTCCTGGCCATAGATGCCAGAATTTTGGAATTTTTGGAATTTTTTGAGCATTACAATGTTTCGTGAGTTTCAGGGTTGGAAATTTTGGAAGTTTTTGAGCATAGCAGTGTTTCGTTGTTTAAAATTCACAAAACACTGTAATGCCCACAAAAAAATCCACTTTTTACAGCCTCCAAGCTCTCGAAACACTGCTATGCTCAAAAAATTCCAAAGTTTTAAGGAATTTGCACCCGTCCTGGCCATAGATGCCAGAATTTTGGAGTTTTTGAAATTTTTGAGCATTACAGTGTTTCGTGAGTTTCAGGGTTGGAAATTTTGAAATTTTTCGAGCATAGCAGTGTTTCGTTGTTCAAAATTCACAAAACACTGTAATGCACAAAAAAATCCACTTTTTACAGCCTCCAAGCTCACGAAACACTGCTATGCTCAAAAATTCCAAAGTTTTAAGGAATTTGCCCCCGTCCTGCCCATAGATGCCAGAATTTTGGAATTGTTGGAATCTTTTGAGCATTGCAGTGTTTCGTGAGTTCTGGGGTTGGAAATTTTGGCATTTTTTTGAGCATAGCAGTGTTTCGTGCGCCCCATGCCCCAAGAACCTCGATGGCGTGGATCTTGGGGGGGCGAGCATATATATATATATATATATATATATTTATACACATGTATTATTCTTGTTATAATTATTACTGTTATTTCTTTTTGGATGGGGTTTCCTTTATCATAGAAGAAGATCGTGCTTCCGCTCCTTTCGGTTCCTGAATCTAACTAAGCGATAATCTACGCCGAAACGTACCAATCAGCTTACCTTTGCCCGGCCCATGCTTAAAGGATATAAAAAGGTAACTATACTTATAAGTACTCATAACCCCAATTAGGGGACTTATAACCTTACTTACTAAGTCCCGTGATCCTCTAAGTGCTCCTCACAAGAGTTGCATCCAGAGGCCGGGAGTTGTCAGTGTTACGGCTTGTTAGGGTTTTCGGGTTGAGGGTTGAGGGGTGGTGGGAGGAGCCTACCTCGATGAGAAACTGCAGAACCCTGATATCATGTATGGATACATGTAGATTTCTGCGGCGCCCCTCAGTGTTCCTTGCTGTATGGAGCACCAAAGGGGCACGCGACAACTGTAAAGAAAGTTCAAAACCTTAGCTAAGTTGTAGGCTTGGAACCCGAAGCGCTAAATCCGAAGCCCTGAACCCTGAACGTGTAAACAGCTAAACCCAACCCTTAACCCCTTAAACCCTCTACGCCCTCAACGCTTAAGCCCAACCCCCCAGATTACTTAGCTCCTAAGCCCCCGTGAGGCTGGGAGACTGCGGAACCGGCTTTCACTTGCTCCGTGGCCTGGTGCGTTACCGTCGCTCGGCGCGGTTTACTTAAAGGATCATGGGACTTAGCAGCTGGGGCTAGAAATAAGGTAACTATACTAGTCCCCTGATCCTCCAAGTAGAGTTTACGGTTTAGGGTTCCTTGGCCTTCGGACGCGTGAGGAGGAGGCTGAGAAGGTGCCAATAATTGTCTGATTAAAGCCGACACATGCCAACATCATAACGTACCATAAACTTTATAGTTAGGGCGTAGCGTGTAGGGTGTAGGGGGTCGGGTTATTGAGACAAAACTAGAATCAATCGTTTTCGCCGGAGTAGCAGTAGGAATACCTCGGAACCCCGCTGTGCTGTATGTGTTCTGTGACAAAATAGGCTTTCGACCCAACACCCGGAGCCCTATCCCTGCAAAACCGGAGCCCTGTACGCCTTTGCTCGTATAGTTTGTCAGACCACGAGCAGGGAAAGTCCTGAAATGCCCGAGTTCCGAAGCCATGAAACGCTGATATAAAATCCGTAGGCCATCCTTACACAAGCCTGATCATGTCTTCGCGAAGCCTTTACAGCACCCGGAAGTGTAAGACACCGGTTTGGGCTCCGATCAGGCTGCCACCTCCTTTGGGGACGCTGCTGTCCGACCTGCAGGCGTCTCGGGGGTCTCTTGGGCTGTGGTAAGGGTTGCGGAAGGGTTCCATAGGGTTCAGGGTTCTTCCGGGTTGAGGATCTGGGGCCGGAGGAGTAGAGGCTTCGGGGTATGTTTTTTTTTGTTTTTTCTCATGTTTGGGGCACTGAGTCATGTCGACGCTGCCCTTTGGCTTGCAGGTGAAACTAATTAAGTCTGAAGGCTCTTCGAACCTCTGACTGACTGCCGTTCCAATAGACATGTCCGCCTTGGTATGCCCGGCTATGTATGCCCGGTAGGCGCCCGAGTGCAGTATGATCAGGGCCCTCTGTGCTCGGCAGGACAAGGCCGGCCAAAACTCCTTTATGCCACAAACATACTGCAAATCGCAGGAGGTCTCCCGCTAAGCAAGCTTGAGGCAGATCCGCATCTGGTTTCGGTGGAGCACCGGCAGCAGTCTGGCCGCCAAAATTAGGCAGGCCTATACAGGAGACATTGGTCATCGGTTTCCTGCAGGAAGGCAAGCGGCTCACCGGAGGAAAGAGCCTCTAGTATCTCTGGCAAAGGGAAACTGACAATGCCTGAGGCTGGAACTTCACAGAAAAAGGGGAGATCAACAGCTCCGACACAAACAAGGACAGTGTCTGTGCCAGGTGGTTGTGGATCAGGGAAAGTGACTGTCTGAAGCTCCAGCAGCTGCAGGAGCAGCGCACTTTGCCGGAACGTATCCCTTGGCATGACCTTATAGGAGGTGGTGGGTGCCAACCAGTCAGCATAGTCGGCGGTGCTGACCCACGTGCTGCAGGCAAGAAGGCGGTGCGAGTCTGGGCACTCAGGCCTCTCAGCACCGCGAATCTGTGCATGCCAAACCTCCGCTGTAAGACGTAGCCTCGTAGAGGGGAGGCAAACGCAGGCGAACGAGGCACGAATGCGCTGCCACAACTCGGAGTCTGTAAGCCTGGGTAGTTGCCCGTCGTAATCAAGGAGGCTGAGACAGTCAAGAACTTCTGCTGAGGGTCGCTGTAGCTCATCTTCGACAAATTGCACGGTGGGCCGTGGTAGGGGGCCCTGTGCCTGTACGGTCGGCTGTAGGCACAATCCGTCGTCTGGGGTCTTACGGCTTCCTACCCCAGGTTGGGGCTGTCCTCGGACACCGTATGAGAGTAACTGAGAGCGGCAGGCAGGGCTATAACGGACGTGCCGGCACAGTTTAACATTGCAGGAAAACTGCCGCAAACACACGGGGCACTGTGTGCCGGAGACAAGCCGGCGGGCTTCATCAACACGGTGATGCACCTTGAAAGCGTGTACCGACCACGAACGAAGATCGCGGAAGCGGATCCCACACAGGCCGCAGACCTCTGTAGCAACTTGTTCGGAGAGTAGGTCCTGTGGAGAGCTAGCCCCGGCCGCTCTCAGCTGTCTAACCAGAAGCCCTTGATGATAGAGGCGTGCTGCCTCACTTCTTTCTCGTTGTAGCGCCTTGACCTGGGCCCGCCGTATCCGCCCCTTCCACTTTCCAGGGTGGAGCCTGGCCTCTTGGCTCCATGCTGTCCAGGCGGATTCGGGAGTTTGATGTAGGGAACCTGCATCGACAAGTTGCCATAACCAAAGGACAGAAGATCGAACCAGGCCCAGCCATTTTTGCTCCCAATGGGCCAAGGCCCAGATTTCCGGCGTGGCGAGCCGAATGCAGGCCAGCAAGAAACGCAGGCGGTGGGCGTGCAACAAAGTGTCAACAGAGGGCAGGCCAACCAAGGCTAAAACACGGTCGGAGCCGAGATGCCAGGCCTGCTCACACGTGTAGTGTGGCCGTAACATCTGACAGGCCATTCCCCGGATGGCATTGTGCAGGATACTGCGACAGCGATCGGTAACTTGCGGCCACGTGCCCGAGCCATACATCAAAGTGGAGACGACAAGCGAGTCAAAGAAAGCCGCTTTGTCACAGACCGAAACTAATGGAGATCCGAAAAGATGGCGTTTACGGGTGTTGAACGCAGACCACGCCTGTGCTGCTCTGTGCCGCGCTTCCCTCTCAACCTTACCTTGGTGGTGCAGGAGGCCGCCTAGGTGCTTATACACAGGCGTGGCACGGAGCGCGGCCTCCGGCCAAAGTCGGCATTGTAGTGGGACCTGGCCCGCATCTTCATGGTATACCCGGTGGCGAAGCCCCTTGGCCCCTTTGGCACAAAAGGAGAGGAGCCCTTCAGTCTTACCCCTACCGAGGTTCGGTAACAAGGCATGGGAAAGGCATTCATCCAGCAGACAAGCTGTGCCAGAGCGTATCCGAGCATACAGCTCTGTGGCAGTTGGGGCACAGAGCAAGAGCGAAAGGTCGTCCATCCAGGTGGCGTCGAGTAGCTCTAGGGTCTCGGTCGGCGAGTCAGATAGTGGCTCGATTCGACCAATCATGTCTGGCGCCCATGGCACCCTAGTGGTATATCCCTGGTCAGAGAGAACTTGCCTCAATCGGGTGAGAATTTTCGCGAACAAGAAACTGAAAGTGAGGTCACTTAATGAGTCCCCTGGGCGAGTTCCGATGGCTGTTTGGACAAGGTCCGGCTCGTTCGGGAATCTGAACCAAGTGTCGTGCAAGGTTTCACTGAGAGCGCCGACAGACCATGGGTCTGCCCCTGATGCAGCAACTAATGAAGGATTGCGTAGATGCATCTGGAGTTCATGGTAAACTCCGGGTGGCAAGTTAACTGCCTTGCAGGCTCTGGCAATGTCAACATCTGTCAGGGAGTCTGTGGTCAGGAAGGGTCGCGTGACCCGATAAAAGGCCTCTTGTAAATCTAAAAACACAACCCCATGTGACAGTCGACGGTCCAGGCAGGCAGATTGAAAGAGTCTGGTGGCCTGGGCCGGCAACGTGACCGGGAAACCAGGAAGGCCGCCTACCTGAAGAGGTGACACCACTGAAGCGAGTGCGGGCACCGTCTGGCGTCGCAGCATCTTGTGTGTGGCCTTCCCGAGTACCGAGCTGACAAGTATCCCCCGGTATGAGGAACAGCAGGCCCTTGGGCCTTTGTGTTTGTAGACGCAGAAAAGAGTCCCACCCTTGTATTGGAGCGGTTCCTGTAACCTCATGGCCCCTTTAAGGTGAATCTGGAACATGGCCCTCGAAAGCTCCGGTGCACAGTAATGCGCAAGTTCTCCTGGTATGGAGTCCAGGCCATATGCGCGGTCTGTCTGTGTGCTACGCAACGCCTGCTCCAGTGCGATGCGGTCGGGGATGTCCCGGAGCTGGGGCGCATAGTCTTCGAGATCTTTTTGGTACTGCCGCCGATAGCAGGCATGCACAAACGCGGACGGGTCTCGAATAGTGCCGTCCTCCATGCGCGAAAAGTGCTGAATCCAGCAGTGTTTCGCTTCCTCTGCAGTAGATGCGAGCTGTCCCTCAGCAGTTTCAACCGCAGGTAAGGGAGGAGTACCTTTTTGCTTACGGCGGGGACCTCCAGTGAGAGTCCGCAACTGTTGGACAGTGTGTCTGGTGGAGGACTGTTCGGCTTGGTCCGCAACATGACGGATGCAGGATTGGGTATCGCGCTTGATAAGTGTGCGCAGCTCCTTGCTGGAGGACCGCAAGTGGTCCACATAGGCCGGGAGATCCTTGGCTAACCAAAGAAGCATGGGTAGCCGTGCGGCATGCACCGTGTAGAGGGCACGTCGTGTGCGCCAGGCAAGGAGCGCAGAGGTAACGGCGTAATGTTCAACGCATCTGCGCCCGGCACGGACTCGCTTGCGCAGCCAAGTCCGGAGGTTCCGCGTACGCCAGGTGTCGGTGCCAAAGTACTCTCTTCTGCAGCGAGCTTTGGTTGCAGGGAAGGCAGTGGCTAAACGGCCCCTGAAATATTGGTCGATGGCTGCGGCATGCCTGTGCACATCAAGACTCCAAGGCTGCAATGGGAGGTCCTTGCTGATGCGCCGCAAGAGGTCACGACCCTCTGGCTCACGCATGACTGCGGTATTAAGCCTGGCTCCCCGCCTGAGACCTGTCGCAGTAAGGGATTTAAAAGCCCGTGTATCTAGCGCAACAGCGAAGTGGTCAATATGGCCCTGTCCCCAATCGAGATCTGGGACAGTGCAACTGGCGTCCCTTGGCGCTTGCCAAACACGAGGGATGGCAATGTAGTCGAGGCGGCGCCCAGGGCCTCCCCCGGGGGGGAACCAAGTCGAGGTCTCGCCTGGATGGCAATGGCTGAAGGTGCACGGAAGCCAGAGTCCAAACTGAGCAAGTATCTGGCGAAAGCCCAGAGGGGCCGGCTGTGCCGGGCCCGGACAGAGAAGGTCCCCTGTTGCATCCCCGAGGCCTTCTGTGAGGGTGAGATTAAAATCTCCTAGGAGGACTAAATCTGCCCCTTGAAGAGTCCTCCTCAAGGTTTGGTACAGGGCCTGCCACCAGGTATCTCGTTCGGGATCCGCGCTATGCGGGGCATGGACATTGGCAAACAGGATTCGAACCGGTCCACGCGTATATCGGACGAGCAAGGTTCTCGGGTCCCAGTGTACCGCGAGGAAATCACTCGGGTGGAAGTAGATATCGCTATCCCTGACACGCATGATGCTGAATTGTCGGGAAAACCATAGTTCAGTACCATAGTCTCCGGTAGCATTCTTGGCGCTGCAAAACCGTATGTGCGTCTGGGAGACTATCGTTTCGTTCCGCTTTGCCCGGGTTTCTTGAAGGCCGGCAATGACAACGCCCGCGACTGACAATTGGTCGCGTAGAAACTTGGCTCGCCCAACAAAGGCGCCGGTATCCCTCGAAGGTTGCTCCTGAGGGTCGTCCTGTGGACCGGAATCAAGGGTCTGGACATTGACTGTCAAGAGTCGAGGGGCAAGAGTGCCATAAAGAACCTCCCGATGACTTGAACCACTGCCCTCTTGCATCGGCACAGGGTCGATGCCAAGCATCTGTTGACATTCGGCTTCTGTGGGAAGTGATGGAATGGCTAGAGGAGGGTCCCGTAAGCCCGAAGGAGTGACAGTGGGCCAACACTGGGGCTGGGAGATGGTT